CCGATGATGAATGGCTGTAGCGAAGGAGGATGGGTGGGAATGGGAAGTAGAGACGTTCCAAAAGATTCTAACACAGAGATCGGTATTCGTAGAAATGTAACCGTCCGGACGTCCAAGACCAGCGTAACCATCCAAACCTCCCGTCCTTTCAAGTTCAAATGATAAGATGATGAAGCTCGAATGAAAGGATAGATGATAAAAAAACCAACTTGTCTACAGATAGCCCCTCTGTCTCTTCTGGACCCCTCCCATCCCTCCACCCTATTTAAATTAATGGTACATGAGACAAATGCACATACAAACACTACTACGATTCTATATGGGAATCAAGCGCGCGGGGCGTCCAAAGGAATAATAACCGGCACTGCAAATCTCTACCAAGCACATGAGCAAGCAGTTAACAGCACCAAGCGGTTAACAAATTAAAAAATACGTAGTTCCACCCATGTAGGTCTTCTATAGTATATTCTGAATGGAATTCGAATGCTGAAACGCTTTCTCTTGACGGGATTCATCGGCGCCCGAAATTTTATCCTTTATTTTTTTTGCTTGAGACAAAAAGAAATAAGGTACCTGAATGGCTTCAAGACAAAGATCATCTCCGAATAGTACTAGGTGTATAAGATGTTCGAGAGCGATCAGTACCAAGCGATCCTTGTTACCACATTCGGTGAGATATCTTGCAATTATCTGAAAACCGTAGAATCTGGCGACATAATAACTCAAATAAGAAGCTATCAAACTGAAGAGAAACTCGGAAATCGAAACGTCGGAATTTTCCGATCACGATATATTTGCTTTCATTAAGCCTCCTTGGGAAGACCAAATGCACTAGGTTTCAGCCGCATTTAGAATCGGCGGCTCGGGAAAGGACCCAAGTTCAGATAATCTTTTCTTGTCTCTGTCGGCACTAAGAATAAGATGTAGCGATTTGACGTCATAAAAATCAATCATTGTCAGTAAACTTATTCATGCAGTGATTTTGATATGTATTGATTAGAGATACGCTATTAACAAAGCTCCCAGAAACCACAAATGTAGCCTTTGTCCAAGGGACCACTGAATTCAGAGACTGTGTCTGCCTTTTGGGTCCTTGCCAAGAATTCTTTCAATATGAAAAGAATGAAGTACCTTGCAAAACACTTGTAGCACTTGCTCGATCATTTTCCGTACGACGATTGTGAAGTAGTTTGTGATGGTGAGTGGCGAACCAGTTTCAGCAGCTTCTCGTTGCAAATCGTTTATTTGAAGCCTCACAACATTGGTATCCTGAAGAAATGTATTTCTTAATGGCCATGTGTTTGGCCAGGAAAGAAGCAGCGGTAGATGGCGCCGTTGTATCTTGAAGGATTCTAGATCGGACCCATCTTACTTAGACCAAAATGGTTTTCCATTTTCTCAAGCCTAACTGGTTCCGGATTGGTTGGGAAAGGTGGGAATACAGCCTTTCGAAGCCCCTGGCCTGGCCCACCAACCCTTGTACATGTCACTGAACGCTTCCAAATACTACTGGGCATCTATGGGGAAATCAAGTGCATGGCGTATCCCGAATAATCGACCGGCGCCACCTCTGAAAACATAGGCAAACCTACGTATTTAGGAAGTTGATGAGCACATGGGCTAGATTCGACGATCTGTATAAAGGCAGTTGTTCTATCGAGAAGTTCTTTGGCCGTCGATGGATTTGCTGGTCCGCCAAGTTGAGCGAATATCGATGATGCCGTTCGTAGCACATGGTCCATAGTACCTGAATAGATTCGGCTCGTTCACAGCACCAAAGCACACACATACGATTCAATTGCGTTCCAGATGTTAGAAATGGAGTCGCAGCCGTTAGCCCCATCTGGTTTCGACAATAATCGAGAACCAAATGTGCTGCTAAGTGTTAACGCATTGTTGCTCCACTTAAGTCTCGTTTTTATATCTTCATCCAGATACCAGGTAATAAGAAAGCTCGGAAAAACAAAGAAAACCCCACAATCGATTTACAAATTGGGCGATTTTTAATTTTTTACACACCACATTTTTTATAATTTCAGCTTAACGTTTACATTTATTTAGAAGGAAGGATCCGCAAGTGAGTTGAGTGGAAAAATTCGAAATAACTAAGTGGGCCCAGAAGTTTCATATCTTTAGAGGAGAGACTTGGTTTCTAGCAAAAATGCTTCTAAAAAATAATGTGGAAGAAACGAGAAACTGTACATTCACAGTACTACTGAATAATATAGAGGAGAGGACCTCAAACAAATATCCCCCACTAACTCCACACAGAACTCCCCAAGATGTCCAATGCGAAAAAAGAAAAGATGGTGGAGAGTGGAACCTTAATAGAATGTAAACATTTCATGGAGCCAATAGGATCGTGTGATTTGTCAGTCGTTGGAAAACTGTGTCCTGAAAGGGCCTCAGTCTCAATTACTTCTCATATCTCTATAACAAAAATTCAAAATTTTGAAAAATTCTCCAGACTTCCCCATAAATACGGTTATCCGTTCCCCTATTCTGAATATTTATAATTTTGAGGAGCTCGGACAAGCATTCACATTATACATAAGACCCTGAAAAGCAAGGAAGAGGAAAAAGGGAAGGCAACAAAACCTTTTCATAGTGAAAAATGGGGTCCGAAAACTCTTCATGGACCTCCCTACCTTTGGCCATTAAGTACTGATTTATAACTTAGCATCTACTGGTTTTTCCAAGAGAATCCGTAAGAGCATTCGTAAAAACCCCGCAGTTCGCAATAGTTGCTAAGTCCTCTCCACGGACGATTCTCAGTCGTCTACAAACCGGAAGCAGTCGTTGTCGTTGATAGACAAAGCGGTACGTAGGCTTCATAAATATCGCCCTGATTAACGACCTTGCTAATTGTCGATCCCAACTCAGCAACACCTGTTCTCAGTCACAGATATGATATTCGGTACGGCTTATCTCGCTCACTCTCTCTTGGGTATCCCTAGCATCTGAAAAGGCATCGGACTCACTTGCTATTCGGGCATAACCTGGTAGACATCGTTGTTGATAGACATGAAATATGGATGACGTCTCATCCAGTTGATCCTTTTCCTCCCGTTCTTCTCTCGACGAAGAGAATGAATGTTGAGATGTGAGAGCTACATCACCTGAAACAAACCCACGTAGAGAGACATTCCTATATGGGAGCCCAAAAACCGTCCAATCATACCTGAGCATTGTCCAGAGTCGACGCTGAGAGTGCTGTCGGAACGCATGCTTTTTGGAGATGAAGGGGCGTGAGGCGGGACTCTAGGGATATCGGACGTTGAACGCTGACTAGCGCTGAACAAAAAACGGGAAAACTTAGCAGATTGTCCATAAACATTGGCTACGGGTAAAAAAATAGGAAATCTAGGTGGGAGTTCACCTTGTTCCGCCCTGTTCCCTGCTCTGATCCACAGAGTCTTCGTGATTCACCGCAATCATATGTCGCAACGCCATTTTCTTATTCACTACTGATCGAGACGAACCATTCTTTTCAAATTTTATTCGCAACTGAAACGACGAATCCTATTTTTCGAGACCATAGAGATCAAATTCTGTTAGATCATCAGAGATTATAACTCTTGGCAGGTAAGGTAAAAAAAATGAACTCGCAGTTGAGATGTGATTCAAGGTTGCACCAAACTCGGAAGAGAAAAAAACTATCATAATTCCATATCGACGCCTTTGTCAAAATGTGCTACAAATTCGATTTTCATCGGAATGGGATAGGCTTTTGAGTTTTTTGTATAAGAAATCAGTTTTGAGATTGTGAAAGCCAGCCAATAAACGATTCACCACTCTGACCTCTTCAGACAATCCTTCGCCAATTACGTGAACCCAGAAGAGAGGGGATCTGATCTGTTCGAACGATATTTGGTATAAAGTTTGACTTTACATAGATCCATGGGTATCTAGGCATTTACCAGAGTTCCAATTCTATACAATTTTTTTACAAAGTCTCTAAGTGGAAGAACAATGAGAACGAACCCATATTTTGGTGGTCAAGTGATTAAAATTGGGAGATTAAATTAACTTAATTAATTGAAGTAAATAAAATAATAATCAAGAAAAAGTAGTAGGGAATTCCTACTCAGGAATTACGTGAGTAAACTCCTTTCCTACAAGTGAATATATAGGTTTAATACGTACATATATACGGAAATTCCACAAGGCTTTAAGGAAAAACAAATGTGTGGCGCATTCCATCACTGAACAACTCATCTCCTATTTATCACAACAACAATATGATCGTTTATTGGTTATAAAACACTTATTTAGCTAGATCCATACCATAGTTAAAATGAGCTCAATTTGTCAGTGTGCAGTTCCCAACTTGGTAGAGGTTGGGCAATAGCGAGAGCCGCTCAGCACTTGTACGATCAACAGAATTCTAAATCCCTCTGATTTTGCCCGTGTCCTCAATCCCTCTGGGATTGATTAACTAGTACCAGAGTTGTTTGGCAGGACAACAGCACTGATTGTGAAAACAGCTGGTTTGTGCAAGTCATTTCTTTAAGACGAGTTAACGGCGCAGAAATGGGAATGGGACGAATTCCCAAAGGACACGTTGGGACAACGGCTAATGAGGAACAGACGGCCAGCCAAGTTTTTGCTGTTCAGACCACCTATGTCGTCATTTGAGAGTGCCCTATCGTAACTTCATACTCAACTCTCTTGGGAGAGATAGGCTCGGCCTTACTAGTAACTGCTCTTATTACTTGATGTGGAAAAAAAAGATTGAAAAAAAGAAAAGAAAAGAGGAAAAGAAAGAAATGCTACTGATTGCTTCTGAGGAAACCGTTTATGGGAAAAAATGAAGACGAAATAATGAGGGAGGAAATATGGATTGGAGGACCACGATAAAGGAACGAATTGCAGTTGTGACTGCGAATAGTGTAAAAACATGGGTAATTCTCCTGCCACCCCTCGGACAAATGATCCTGGCGAAATCCCAACACCAATCGTGTACTCATTTATTATGCGATCTGAACCTCGGTAGCAGGTGGCATTCAAATTGTCCTGGTCCAAGCCGATAGGCATAAATATGCACTACGGCTAGAAAGTTGTAGGTATAAGCAGGGGCCGATAGACAGGGCTAAGATGCGAATCTCTCAATCTCTCCGATCAGAGACGGAGTTATTTGGGGTTATGCATGCATTTTAAACAATTACCTATGGGTGAAATAGGGAACCCTCATCCACAAACCTCTCAGCCCACTCCCTCCTTTTCAAGTCTCCCACACGAAGTATTTGTTTGTACTTCAATTAGGATCCCTCTATGGTTTTCATGGTCACTCCACAGGGTGACGCATGAAGGAGTTAGAATTTTACTTCAACTCCGAGGAAGGTCAACCCCTTTTAATCCGGATGTTTCTGCCCATACGGCTTACCCACATGACTACTAGAGACTTAGCAGGTATTCAGTGGCTCTCTTCTTTGCTAACTTGACTATACATACTTGCTGGAAAAGAGATTACTGACGATTACCTACCTGATCGTAGGTGGGAGGCGATTTGAACAGATGACTGCTTCGATTTGGGACGTTCTGAGCGTTGAGTTCAGTCGTCGAGCAACCGGCGGCACATCTGTATCCAGGTGGTGCCCACTGCAAATCACTTTATACTAGACAGCCGAACTTTCTCGGATCCCAATCGCAAAGCAAGCAAAGATTGATTGAGAGCATTTACGTGAACAGAAACTGAGCGATGGTGGTGGTAGTTACAACCGCCATATGTTGCACTGCACATGTGCGTGTAATGGGCAGGGCCCCCGGGCCAGTAACACCACATAAACACCCAAGTGAACTAGCACTTGCCGTCAACGAAACTCACCGAAGAATACTCGGCTGGCAGGGTCTTCGTTGTTGTTGTTGAAGATTTTTGGTTAGCGCTCGACGATACAGCATCTCCATTTAGGTAAACGTTAGTGTGAGAATGCCCAGGAGCTACTGAAAAGTTCGAGTATCCAGCGGATTGATAGTAACTTGCATTTAGCGTTTATGCATCTAACTTTATTGAAAGAACAAAGTTTGGCGATGGAAAAGGCGAAACGAAACTTCCCCCCTCTGCTGTCCTTTACGAATCATAAAGTTTAACTCTGGTTATGCTTGGTTCCACAAAAATTTTAGTCCCGTTTTCGGATACCAACCCTTAACAATTGGCATCGAGACACTCTCTTATCAATACAAGCTTCGTCAAGTTGGGAATTCTCTACCCATTACGAATGATGGGGCGTGTGAAGATGATCCTTCCCCTACGAACGTTGGCAGCGTGGGAAGATGGTCTAGAGAAAAGAACGGAACATCCGCTTTTTTCTAAGTCTACTCACATTACTCCCTGAATAGCAAAAGATTTGAAAGCCTTGAGAGCTATATTAGGACTTAAGCCATCGTTGAGACGTTATAGGCTCGTCATCTGTCATCTTTTTGGTATGCGCCACGCATCCGATTATGCTCCACTACGTGGGAAACTGAATCGTCAGCTATTCAGAAGCAACAGTTCGTGCTGTTAAATACAGTAAATCAAAAATACGGTTCAAAAACAACTGTAATAATAATTCCGTAGGCTTTTCTGGGATGAGCCATGTATTCACTCTAAAACCCAAATTGTAGGTGATTGGTGAAGAAAAATATGCTAAAGTGGCTTGTTTTGCTTTCAAATGTGCACACAAATGCTACAAAAAGTCGGTTGAGGGAACGGCAAAAAAGCTTTTGAGGCCCCAATAAACAGTCGTAACGTGAAAGATACCGATCATGAGGGTATTTTCATTGATTACGGTACTTCTGTTACTGTGCCATCGCACTCACAATGAGTAGGTGCATACAGTAATAAGTCGTTCTTCAAAAATCAATCGAGTTTAACATTGTGAAGATTTTTTTCCATACGCATTCACACATGAAGTCATATATAGATTGTAATGCGTTCGTCACCTTTGTTGGCGATACGCCATGCATTCGACTTTGTTCAAATTCGCATAGAAACAAGTTAGCCCAAACTGCTCAGCAAAAAAAGTTTGAAAAAGATTGTAAACAGATTAACGTTACAAACTAGCTGTATCAAAAATAAATAGTGGCTTCTTTTTACAACAACCTCACTAAAACCAAAAGCAATCAGCTGTCTAAAG